TCCTGTTCGGACGTACCATTTTTTGCAGGGGTGTTTGATTCGATTACACTTTACCGTTTCAGTTGCGTCTTACTCTTGATCTAATTACAAAGTAATTTGTATGCATTACATATCGCGGTATAATGTTACATTGCGGTACTAATTGAATGCACGGAGTCAAAAAATGAATACATTGCCATACTTGTGCATAAATAATGATGAGCCCCGACAAACCATATTATTTTTAAAAAAACCTATTGTGCACAATGTGCCGACATGTTGTTCTTCACAACATTACTATTATCTTCTTCATTTTTCCTAAATGACGTTACATGTGGTCGTATCTTTTTCATACCGGGTATGGGGTACAATCTTCACGTTATCATGCTGGAAAAGGGGGACGTGCTAACTCCACATGGTCATTATGTCCGCTATTTGCTGTCATCCGCTCATCCATGCAGCATGGGACCAGAACATACATCACAGACTATCATGGTGAATGTCAGCATGACACGAAAATATTTTGAAGCAAACCTCCAAACCATGTTAACAACTGGGCTGTTGGACCCAATGAACATGTCAGCCAGCCTGGCATACGGCCAGTTGCTAACCGATCTTTGTGACAGCATGTTAGAAGAACGCACTAGTTTTATGAAACACTTGGAGTCTTAACGTTTTGATTTAGTAGTCTTGGAAGACATTATGTGGTTCTATGATTGCGAAGATGCTGGAACTAGTTTATCTAACACGGGACTTGATGTCCGACGCTACGTTCTTTTCCAACTTTCATATATCCCTGGCATGACTACAGGTATGGCCTTACCAATGAGTTTCATCGAGAGAGTTCAAAATACTCTTCTGGGTATTGTTGGTGCTTTGTTTTATCGGTATATGTTTATATGGAATGTCCATGCACTGAATCTAAAACATGGAGTTATAGCAGACAACAATTATTATGAAATACAAGATGCCGAACTTATTTTATGGAATAAAGGTCTTATCCTTGATTTTTCGCGTCCCTTTTCACTTACAGTCAAACCGGCGATGCCACTGGAGCAGGTAAGTTACAAGTGATGTAGATTATACAGTTAAGGGGATAGGAAAACGGAGAGATATATGGAGGCAGAAGAGTAAGAGAAAGAAACAGAACAATATACGTATACGTTGTTCTAAAAATAAATGTTGTTAATATCATCAGCATATGCATTTAGACTTACAAAGTATATTGTAATTATTTCTATGTACTCAGGAAGTGTGGAATTGGCAAAAAGCCTGTTTTAGTATGGCCTAAGTAATTTCACTGAATTACGCCTATCCATGAATTAAAATGCCAACATTTTATCCACGTTGCAATAGTTTGTCTGGTGGTTATATCTTTTGTGAATGGCGACCTTTTTATCTATGTTAGAACGTTTGTACGTTTCTATCTCGTAGATATTACATATCAGACAGCCAAAATATACACTGTGTTTTTATAAGTAAGCATCCACGTAAGATCATATCACAGTACGCTTTGGCTCGGGTGGATGTTGTTTTTTAAAACATTAATTCAATATTTTAACTTCAAATTAGAAATTAGTCAAACACGCCTAAATGTTAGGTTCCAGACGAAAAGAGTCTTATTCTCGAACTGGCCACAGACATATATGTCATATAATAATCTCCAACATATATCCAATTTGACCAATTTAGGAAATAGCAATAGCACAGTCGTTGGGGGCGTTATTTGATGTTCTTTATATGGTACGAGCCATTTCATATTTTTCAATAGTTGCCTTGACGAGAAGATGGAGTTCTACGTTGTTCTGAAAATAAATATGTTTCTAACATCATTAGCATATGCATTTAGACTCACAAAGTATATTAAAGGTATTATTTCTATGTACTCAGGAAGTGTTGAATTGGCAATAAGCAATCACAGTCTGTTTACGGTCAAGAGGGGACTGATTTGACGAAAGATAACCTGTTTTGGAACTACTGTTTTTCAGTATGGCCCAAACACTTGGAAGCATTGACGCACAAATCCAAAATAAAAAAGTAAAAGACTATAAGAAATTAAAGATTCCCTGGAGGTTACGAATGCACACTTTCACATAATTGTACCTTGAGGAATAACTGAAAAAAAAACTTGACCCCGAAATTGTATAAGTAAAAAAATAAT